GCGCCAATTTATAATTGTAACGAATAATATTTGAATAAAAGCATTTAATCGGTAAAACCGGGCGTTGGCTAGTATTATATAAAATTGACCAGTCAATATGAAATATCTATCATTTACCATAACTATATTGTAAGATTATAAGCTCAAAAGAAGCTTTCACATAAGCAAAATAAACATGTTTTATTGAAGAAGCTCCTTTTGAGTTTATAGTCTTACAATATAATTATTTTATCAACCCCAGTTCTCTTGGAATTTAGATATGTTGTCAGCTACCCAATTTGCACTCAAGCCCTAAGTGTTTTAGTTCATTTACAATGGTGGTGGAAATGTCCAGGTTATTAAAAGTTACCAAGCAGATTTATTTTTAAAAAGGTTTCACAGCTATGGCAGGCTGAGGTTGTAAATTCCTAAGAGGTGGCCATCTGCTATATTTGGTATTGGAAAGTGAAAGGATAAGAGAATATAAACCAGGTATGGTCTTTAACCACCTGGCAGTGTGTGCAGATTGGGTCTCCTTTTCAAGATATTTATGCTCCTGGAGTTTCCATAGTAAGTTATGATGGTTGTTGATATGTAAAAAAAAAATAATAATAACGGGAAATTAATTTATAGTTGAACATGAATAAATCTGATTATTATCTTAATCATATCAAATAAATGTCAGTTTTTTTTCATGAGAGCATCTTCATAAAAGCAGCAAGTTTATCTAGAATACACAATGAAAGTTGTAAATAGAATTAAATTATCTGCATGTAATTTTTCAAATTAATAAAAGCCCCAGAAACAAAATTTAAAATAACTACTCTAAAATAAATAAACTTATAACATTAAAATATTTTTACTTATGGAATTATCAAATAAATTCTCTGCTTATAGATTAGTTAGTTTCTAAAAAAATTAAAAATACATTTCGTCTTTAGGTTAACATCCTCATTATAATTAAACTGCAATTAAATATTTGGAGCTACATTTTTCATTTGTTAAACAAAATTCTATTTTATATATTTTTTTCAAACAAATAA